AGTGACAGAAGCACACATAAGAACGAGATGCAAGAATAAAATATTTCCGACGTTATATTTACTTGTATTGTCGCTATTGCAAGGTTTATGAATTTTATGCAGCCCTATTGAATACAACTAGAGCAAGCTCTTGACTTTGAGGCACCTTTTTTAGGAGTCTTTCTGAAAGGACAGAAATTTACAGCGTTGTTAAAATCGTAACATTCTGACACCACAGCGCATCCTGATAAGAGTAACCAGCTCTGCAGGGATACTGTGTTAATAAAATGTTTTTCTAGTATTCTAAGACAATAATAATAAAAATGATAACACAGACCTTTGGGCACTTAAATAACTTAGAAACAACATAGTATGTAGGAGAAAACATACAATACAGAAACCCTTCATCTGTGAGTTTGACAATGTCTATGATTTTAACTAAAAAGCGCAGATTCATCATACTGTGATGATTTAAAAATGTCTGCTGAGCTTAACATTCAAAAGCTCTGAGTAATCTTTTAAAAAGTCTTGACTAATCAAACAATAAATGCAGAGTTTACTCTTGATAGGACATCCTCCCTGAAAGCTGCATAGTTTGTTCAGTGTGTTGTGTTAATGCAGGCACAAGTCATACAATTGTCAAAAATGAAACAGAAAATACATTTTAAAACTGCAAATCTGTTGTTTTTACAGTTATTAGTCAACAGGGTTTAGATGGAGCATGTACTCTCACCTTAAATTTAGACCTAAATGTCACTGTAACATTTTGTTTCCTGAGGCTGTGAGGGAAAAAAAAACGCAGAGGTTAGCACTGTGAGGTGCAGCTGATCAAAGTGCAGCCTCTTTAAGATTTTTAAAGGGGAAAATATGTAACAAAGTCATGCAACATTTAATGACACAATCCAATGTTCGAGACCATCAACTGCAGCAAATCACGAACTCTATTCCTGCCATTTTCTTTTCACGATAAGTGCATCAATAAATAGACATAAAAAGTTCGCTGTGCCAGGCACCTTACTTAAATTTGTGCTGCAGCTGCGTTTAAAGGGAACGCGTGACGTATTATCGAGAAAAATAAAGATACAATCAATTCAAGATACGTTTGTCATCAATCATAGTGGCAGAATAAAAACTCAAAGCACACTCTTAGGTCAGTTGCTTTCTCCACTCCGTCACTTGACACACATTATGGTGTTATATTGGCATTATGTTCACCTTTGTTTGGTGTTTTTGCCCGGCTGACTTCTTTCAGATCAGAGCTAGGCGGCTGTTAGCATGACGCAACTTCCAACAATTGTCAAAAGTCGAACTTAGTAACCTAGCTCAGAGAGCCACTTTTCGCTACTTTTGGTAGCCGCTTTGGCGAAACTCCCAACTTTAGGAGCTTTTTTGAGGCTAACTCGGCTGCTAAACCAGCTGAACCAGTAGCACCGAGCCCCATGTTTATACAACCACCCACTTCACGCAAACAAACGCTACTTTAGCCACTCGTCCCAGCGCTAAGTGACAACGGTTTAATCATTTAAAAGTACTCAAGACAACTGCCAGCTTGTCCTCGCAGACTAACCGCAACGGGGAACAAATGCAGGCTTTCCTCAAACGGGAAGCAGGCACAGACGACGACGGTACGACCGCGAACACAACGCATCTATAAAGTTGAACTTTTCGTCACAGGCGTGCTGTGGGGAAAGGTTTGTTTTCTCACCTTTCAGCGGTCCGGTGTTTGGAGCCATTTTTCCTGCAGCCTGCATTTTTCCATCCACTTGCACAAAGGAGACGTCAGTTCCTGTTGAGTTGGTCCGCGGAGTCGACCGACTTTTGGATGGAAGCATGGAAAGCGGCGTCTCCGCTCCAACAAATCACGTGGAGAAACAGCGCCACTCCATGGACAAAGGTAGACAGTGCATTGGTTAGCTATAGTACGTGTGTCGAAGAAAACAGTCTTCATTAGATGAATATAACAAGTTACTTTGCTTTTAATAAGTAAATATATATATATATATATATATATACTTATGCACTGTGCTGCACCGTACTTCTTATTTTTACTGTTGAAGAATGTTACTCTAATTTGAACACAATTTTTGGCAACTCTACCCACCTCTAGTTCCTTCGCCGAATGACAAAGAAGCACATTTTAACCAAACATACACAGACAGACATCCACCTTCAGTTGGTGTTTCAGTGAGACTTCTTATTTGAACACAAGCTGAAGTTGGAACAGGCAACCCTGATTGCTTCCTCTTGACAAGCACTTCACAGATTCTCTTTGGAGTTAAGGTCAGGCCCGTTGATAAGCCACCATAACACCATGGCAACTGAAGCAGTTTTTGGAACCTCTAGCAGTTTGTACAGGTGGCAAGTCCTGCTAGAAAAGCAAATCAGCACCTCTATAAAGTTTGTCAGCAGAAGGAAACAAGAAGTGCTCTAGAATTTGCTGGTGGACGTCGACATTGACCTTGAACTTCAGTAAAACCAGCAGGTTGGCTTGAACCTCAGGTCATCACTGGCTAAGCTATATACTGGATCCCCCTCCCCTACCCATCTTGTTACCATGGGAACCAGAACATTCAGCCGCTGGAGTACCCACTCCCACCTGGATCTCCGCAACAGACTCACTGCCACATTCAAAATCCAAACTCTGGAGCTTGTACTGGCTTGTACCCTTTGACCACAACTGCATTGCCTTATTTACATTCTGTTTTTGTATTTATGTTTAATGAGTCTTGTCATGTTGCGTCTGTTTTTATGTTTCATGACGCAAGGCGGCCCTGAGTGCCAAGAAATATGCCTATAAATAGCATGTATTATTATTATTATTATTTCAGCCGACTTCTTGTGAAGCTTGACAAAGCCCTCCAGGCTGCAGTAATCTGTGTTGCTGATACGCCTCATCCTCCCTCATGTTTTCCTTCCACTCAACTTTCCATAAGCATGCTTAAATACAGCACTCTGTTAAGAACCAGCTTCTTTTGCAATTTTTTTTTTTGGTTTAACCTACTTGTAAAGAGTGTCAGTGACTGCTTTAGAGACTGAACATCTGTACAGTTAGTTCTTATGATTGAATACCCTTCTCACCCAGACCGAGAAACCATTTAGAGACAAAAATTCCTGGTGTGCCAGCAGGAATTTTAAATATTTAACATTTTCTCAATATAAAATATTTTTTGAGATGTCGACTTTTCAATTTTTATTATGTGTAACCATAATGATAATTTTCAAAAAGCCTTGACATATTTCAGCCTTCGTATTGTGAATTTATCTGAGTTTCACTGTCTGGAATGAGGGCCAAAAAATATTGAACAGTTTCTCATTTTTTGAGATGCGTGTATTTGGAATCGAAGCTTAAGGAAGTAGAAATTAAAGTGTAAAAAATGACATTCATTTGACAACATTCCATGTGTGGCTCATGTACAGGGCACAACTTTGGGAATTTGGGAAGAAAAAAAAAACATTTAAAAATGTTGGTCTGACGAACTGGCAGAAAAAGTACGCGCAGAAAAGACATTGCACTGTAAAGGGTCATTTTCGGTTAAATGCTCTTGCCAAAGCTTTGCAAAGTCTGTTGGCGTTCAGCTTGAAGTGGACCAGCGGGGGGGAGTCGCTTCCAAGAGACGGTCAAACAGCGCCACCGCGTGGACAGAAGTGGAAAGTGGCAAGCTCCCCTAAAATGATGATTCTATGTGCTTTCAAGCCATTTAGATGTATCACGTTAAAACTGATCCAAATTTAAATCAACGAAAGGAGAAATCTAACTTATTTAAGTTTATGTGTAGTTCGTGTATGATTTATTATGGAGCAGTATATTTACAAATCTGTCTAGGAAGTTAATGAGCATCTGCAGCAAACTCAGAAAATAGAGCACATCACCCGAGTTCTGCAGCCCTCACACTGGCTTCCTGAAGCTCCTTAAGAGGATGCACTTCAAAACACTTTAGCTGGTTTATAAGAATCCCTCAATGAATCCCTGTGATTATCTGTTGCAATAGTAACCTTCCTGATCAGTCATGTTTTCTGACTCTGGTCTGCTCTGCATCCCCACTTACAACCAGACGTAGAGAAGTCGAAATCAGTTTCTATGCTGCTCTAATGTGGGACAAACTTGCAGAAAACTGCAAAAATGCCAGAACACCGAGTTCTTTTTTTAAACGAGGCGGAAACACAATTTGCTTCGGGTTCCCTTCAATTAATATTTACTGGAACTCTGTCAGTATCAGTCTTTTTTCCATCTTTTTATTACTTTCCTTCATTAAGCCACTCCGATGTAGTGTTTTCGTTTTATTTATGTTTTCACATATGTTAAAGTGCTTCCTGAAACGTGCTATACAAATAAACTTAGCGATATTTATTTTTCATAGACCTAACCCTCTCAACGGGATGTCGCTTTGGGTGGTGAGCCGCATTTTCAACATTAAAAACTGAAACAGAGTGGTTAAATTATAAATCACACATTTCCAATGTCATTCATTTTTTAAAACGTATAAGTAAAGCCACTTTACATATTTTCCCACTTGACTATTGTATACCCTTTGTACAGTTATTTTTATTAAATAAAATATTGGTAGCCTGTTATATATTCAGGTGTAGCCCAATAATTCCTTCAACTACACACTTTTCTTTTTATGGGGGGCTTAGTTTAGAATATTTCTGCCATACAGGTGGAGGAGATGTAGCAGGTGCAGCAAGCCTGAGTTTTTTTTTTTTTTTTTTTTTGTTTTGCCACTCAGGCGTCGCACCAAATGAAAACGCACCAATGACAAATGAAGCCGCATCCTGAAAATATCACTTCTGAATGAAGAGGCCGCCCGCCTCCGTCTTGGGGTTTGCCTGCGACGCCACGTACGGTTTGTCTCAACTCACCGTTGGAGTTCAAGACCCTTTGAGTGGCAGGCGCGGCATCCAATCAGCTTCCAACGCGACAGTTTTCCAAAGAAAGTTGCCTTTTCCACCGTCCAATGGGAGAGCGCGGGGGCGGGGCGTTACCATGGCAAACGGCTACCTCTTTTGTTTAGGTTGAGGCTACCTGCGGCTTGTATTGGTGGCAGACAGATGACGGCTGTCAACAGGCTCCGATGAATCTCAGGCTGCGCGAAGAGCACTTAACGGTGGAAGCTCGGTGAGGAATAAGAAGAGGAAGTAAGTCTGACTTGACACGAAGGTAATTTATCAGTTAATTTCGGCTTGTTTGGTACATTCTGGGTGATGTGAATTAGCATTCACCGTCGCTACATGGTTCTAATAAACAACCTACTTATTCAACACAGTGTTTCGTCACACGTCCACTGCCCTTAATGTTAGTCAAATGTTTCGACCGTTTCAGAAACAAGCTTGTTTTCATCCCGCAGTCGCTTGCTGCCTTTCTTCTTTTGGCAGAGTTTGTTTAAAGATTAACGCCAACTTGCATAACGTGATCCCACATTTCATCTCTAAGTGAATTAGCCTTTTCCTAATTAGCAATGACCCAAAAATAATTCCGACTTTATGGACATTTTCTTGTGTTTCAGCCACAAAACTCAATAGGTTTTATGTGATCAACTGACAGAAAGTAGCATACTACTGTGAAAATAGTTTTTTTATTTTTATTTAAATGATTGTTTTACAAATAAAAATGTGTCAAATTCAGGCTGCATTCCTGCCGGTTAGCCTTGAGTCAACATTTTGTAGTATTGTGAAGTTTGGGGATGTGTGAGTGCATTGCCAAGAATGAGTAGATTTTTTTTTGTTCTGGGGCTTTGACTGGGCCATTCTGACACATTATTTTTTGCTTCCATCAAAATGCTTTCAGTGCGTCTCTGGCTGAGTTGTTGTCCTACTGTAGCAGAACTTAAATGGTATGCTCTTTTATTCAACAGAAGTGATCTTCTGTTCTCGTGGTTTTGTAACCTAATTCTGCTTCAAATTTCTCCAAAACGTTCTCTCTGGCCTGTTTGCTGGGTTCTTTGGGTTTCATGGTGCTGGTTTGCCGCCTAATGATCTCCAACAAACCTCTGAGAAACTTTCACCGAGCAGCTGTGTTTATACTGAGATGAAATTACACAGAGCTGGACTCCATTTACTAACTGCCTGATGTGTTAAAGTCTTTGCTTACAGTATGTTTATCTAGGGCTGTCAGAGGGATGGATAGAAAAATATACAACCCTTGAAACATTTTGAAAACTGTGTATATACTTTGTATTGGTCTATAACACAAAATCCCAACAAATCGAATGACATTTTTTAAAAGAAGTATACAGTTGTGTATTTATTTATTTTTCCGTAAAAGACGTCCTAACATAAGTACCGCCACTTCTCTCATTTCTTTCTGTTTTTTTTTTTTAATTTCCACTAGATGGTGAGGAGTAGAACCTTGGCCCACTGCGGGCTGGTGCTGCTCAGTTTGTGGTTGTGCATCCACTCAGTGCCCATCAGTGTGGAGAAGGCCAAAGACAAGCCAGAGGTGGAGCAGCTGGAGCCACCGCAGAGCACCGTGAGTCAACAGCGTTTTGACAAATGCAGAGACACGCTGTTTGATAGAGAAATGATAAATCGTGCAAATGGAAATGATTGCGTTTACTTTCATTTATCATATGATTAATTGATTTATTTCAACAGGCTGAAACCTACCATGCACCAGTTCATGTATAAGACTATGTACTGTGATAAACTGTGATTTTTTTTCCTTTCAATTCATTAATTACTCCACTAATTGTATTGTAATTTGCATCGGTGAATACATTTTTCCTTAGTGGATAGAGCACACGGATGTGGGCCCTGATCTATCCTCAGGACCCACATCCTTGTAGATCCGGCCCTAGTTACAAATGTCAGAGAAATGTAAATTACACTTAACTGTGAGGAAAAAGGTGAATGGACAAACAAACAACAACAAAAAAGCTTTTAGTAGTCATTAGTGGGCGGTAAATGACCAAGAAAATATTTTTATAATGGACCCAATTGGTGTCGGGTTTCCAAATAAACGTGAGTCATCTTCTGTTTGTCAGGACACCGGTCTGCACTACGACCGCTACCTCAGGGAAGTCATCGAGTACCTGGAGAAAGACCCCCACTTCAGAGAAAAGCTGAAAAACGCCAATATGGATGACATCAAGGTGCATGCTCCCTTACAAAATCCCCCCTTAACTATTTAGCAGTCAGTTTATTTGCACTGCGGTCTGGATTTTAAACTTTGCCGTATGGACTCTTTGCTCGCAGCAAGGCAAACTCTCCAAAGAGCTGGACTTTGTTCAGCACAATTTCCGAAGCAAGCTGGACGAGCTGAAGAGGGAGGAGATGAACCGGCTGCGGTTGCTAATCAAAGCCAAACACGACCTCCAGGAGGGGAACGGTGAGTGAAGGCACAGGGTGGCGGTTAGTGCTGCATCACTGCCAGGTCTGGGCTTTGTGAAATTGCACATGTTACGCCATCCACGTCAGAGGTTTGTTCATCATCAAATGCAGGCTGTGATTCAAGACATTTCAGCACTACTTAAACATTTTTTTGTGTTTTCTAGAATTCTTTTTAACACACACACAAAAAGACAAGTGGACACTTTTGCAGGGCTCAGAAAGAAAAACCTGGCTTAAAGCTGCAGCATGTGACTTTTCAAGATATATAACATTTTTTACATATTTGTTCAAACTGCAAATATGTCATGACAGTTTTATATAAGACAGGTAATCTGTGGATTAAAGAATTGAGCTCCTCTGCCTTCTCCCTGTGCTCCCAGTTCTACCTAGAAACAACCAATCAGAGCCAAGAGGCAGGTCTTAGGTGCTACCGTGCCAGCAGAGAGCAAGCTGCAGCTAGCAGAGGTTGTTGTGAATGCTAAGGCTAGTTAGCATAGCCACCGATGACGGTGGATAAATGGATTTTCGGTAATGGTAAGTTGGTTCGCTACCATAAGCATGTTTAGCATCGAGTACAGGCGGTTGATTGACAGCGCCCTGGCTCTAATTGGTTGTTTTTGGTCGGCAGTGGTGCATTTCTCCAGATGGCAATAGTAGCTCAGGGAGGTGTAACAATCTTTTCATAGAATATCTGTCTCATAGCATAAAAAAAAACATTTCTTTTTTTTAAATATAAAAGTTACATAAAGTTGCTTTATTTTAGCATTATTCATTATTCCTTTTCTGAATTATGTGTAACTTAAAACACACGGTCATTGTTGTTTTTTTTCTGTTTATTTTACTTTTCTTTTGAATTTTTTCTGTCCAGGGAACACACGGGACCACCAGGCCCTGCTGAAGCAGTTTGAGCACCTCAACCACATGAACCCACACACTTTTGAGGTGGAGGACCTGGATCGCCTTATTCAATCGGTACGTGCATACAAGTTTACATTGCTACTCACATTAGGACTTTGAATTGACTTCCATTCATTTGAGTAACTCTGTAAACCAGTGTATTCCTAACCCTAACCATCACCAGTTCTAGGAAGGTTAGTGAACATACAAAAAAAATTCTAAATAGGGAACAAAAATTAGTAAACTAAGTTGCAGAGCTACTTTTGTAGACTGTCACCAGACCTACGCTGCATTAAAATTTAGGATTTAATTAATATTGTTAACTGTATAAGTGCTATTGTTGGCCCAGCAGAAAGCTACAGGTGTCGCAAAACAAGAATGAGTTTGACGTTGGCACTGTCGCCTGCTTTGTCTTTTGTTAATCTTAAATGTAGCAACTTGAAACTGTATTTGGAGAGAAAGGGCTTTCTAAAAGTAAAATAATTAGTTTTTTTAAAGAGAGCAATTGGTTTCCTGTATGTTAAGAATGATGAGGAAGTTGCCTCACAGTTGACAGTTGAGGTCTGAACAGTTTCAGCAACTTGCACCGTTTGCGCTGAACAGAAAGGAGCTGTGACATGCAAACAGAAATATATACTGGGCTTTAGAAATTTTCAAAAATACTTTTGTTTATTATAAATACAAATTAGATGTTGTAACTCTTATCATCAAAGTTTTATTGTCAAACAAAAAAGGCCAACATCACTGTTTACTAAATAGGAATAGGCTCCTACTTTGCTTTACAAAATCTAACAGCCCGATTTACATGCCATGATGATACACCGATCTGATTTCAATATTAGCATCGGTCCCGATATTGAACATAAATCTGGATCAGGTATTAGTGACAGTTTTCTTGATTCATAAGGATAAATCTATACAGTCTATTTCTACGCTTTGTGTTCTGACCGACATCATGCTTTCTAAATTTATTTCACATTATATTTAGAATTTCTAATTGCACTTTCTGAACCATTTGAAAGATTTGATGCAGTTTAATTTTAACATGTTTTGTCCAGGTAGTCGACCTTTTGTTTTTGTCAGTTTCTGTATTTTTTATTTTACACTGGCTGTATTGCTAATCACACTGCCTAAACAAATTAAAGTTGTTTTTATATGCTTGACCAAACTTGTGAAGGTATTGGTGTATTTCAATACGCTATACTAGTGCAGAGTTAAATTTGTTATTAAGTACATTTATGTCTGTATTAAAAAAAAGAAAGAAACCTTTTAAGTCAGTTCAGTACTATTTTTCAGTATCGGCTCTATTGGGCATATTGGTATCGGACATGAAGAAAGTGTATTGGTGCATTCCTGTTTGACTAAGACTTTTCTGATAAACTAGTCAGTACCTGGTAAAGCCCCATTTTGACCATATCAGTGCTTAACAGTTTGAGCATTATGCTGTCTTCGAGGCAATCACAAGAACAACCCAGTAAAGACAGTATTCAGTACAGATGACCAGCTCAAGAAATGCCAAACTTACTTTTTCTCCTTAATATTATAGGCAACAAAAGATCTGGAGAACTATGACAAGGAACGCCATGATGAGTTCAAGCGGTATGAGATGATGAAGGAGCACGAGAGGAGGGAGCGCTTGAAAACGCTGAACGAGGAGGACCGGAAGAAGGAGGAGCAGCACTATGAAGAGATGAAGAAGAAGCACGCCAGCCATCCCAAAGTTAACCACCCTGTAAGACACCCACTTTAAACGCAGACATTTAACAGTACTTGGATTATAAGGTACGAAGAATCAATCTGATATCAATGAACCATTTCTGTTGTGAAGGTAAACTTGTTGTGCAACATGTTTGATTCAGCCAAACGCTGCTTCTATCATGTGCAAACACAAAGAACCAAAGTTCAGATACGGTTTCTCTCATCTAAAGGTGACAATTCAAGCCAGATGGTTGAAATTTTTGCAGTTCCAACAGGATACTGCACATCAAATTCCTTAGGCATAGTCCACACAAAGCTGGACATTTGGGGGAACAACGACATTTTTATGCATTTTAGCCTCTCGATCACGTGAAAACTCAGAAAACTAAAAACGATTATTTTTAAAATCAATTCCAACTGTTTGGGCCACTGGTATATAGGATCAGGAGGTGGCAACATGAACGGGGTCCACAAACTAAACAGAGTACACTTTAACCCTCCTGCGGTCTGACAGCATGGTCAGACAGCAGGGGAAGCGGGTTGGGGCCAGGGTGTCCCGTCAGACCATCAGTTCCCAAAATAACATGCAAAAGAAAAAACTTGTAAAAACGCACATGGGGTCAGTGCGACCCTACCAGAACGCGCACAGTTGGAATAATCTGTTTTACAAGCCTGAACTTTCTGTACCCGATAAAGACCGTTGGCGCATCGAGACACTTTGTTCCACAATGAAAGCTTCTTTCTCTTTGTTGGCTTGTTCAGCACTTGCCACGTTCTCAAAACATTTTTGCAACGTTTTGTTAACTTGTGCAGACGATTAAGTGTTGAATTGTCAGAGGGAGGGATGTTCTCTCCTAGAGCGGACCAGGTTCCTTCAGCTCCACCAGATCAAGAAGTAACAAAACACTGTTATTTTTGCTTTGTTTCTTGTCATCCTTCCCAGCTAATCTGGACATTAACATCAGGGTCTTTATGTGCCACTGCTGGAAGAAAAATCTGAAATTTTAACCCTTTTGACCATGTCAGTGCTGAGTTTAGGAATCAATAGAAACCTCCAGCAATGTCACTCCCCTTTAACATAGCCACGACGTCTGTGGGTGAAGTTTTCTGAATAACAAACCCAAAAGTTTGCTGGTGCTCTATGTGTGTATGCATGTGTGTGCGTTCAGGGCAGTGAAGACCAGCTGAAAGAGGTGTGGCAGGAGTCAGACGGTTTGGACCCAGAGAACTTTGATCCCAAAACCTTCTTCAAAATGCACGGTAACCATAGTCTCCAAATGTATTTTAGCACACAACAGTAGCAGAACTACTCTGCTGTAGTTCTCTTGAATCTGCAACCATTTATAAATCTAAAAAAATAGCAACTTTACAAGTATCTTACTTATCAAAACTGTATCTTTATAGTTTGTGATTATTCATGTGGATGAGTTACTTCTAATTCTCGACTTATGTGTTGCAGACAGCAATGGAGACGGCTTCTTTGATGAAAGTGAGCTGGAAGCTCTCTTTACAAAAGAGGTACTTTAGTTAATTTTAGGTATGCACGGATTGCAGTTTTCTGCACTGATTGCAGTTTTCTGGCCGATGGCCGATTCCAATTTTGGCCGATACCTTTTTTTCAACTCATTTCTTTTGCCTGAAAAGTTGCTACATGTTTGCATTTTTAAAACGCTAGTTGGAAGTTTTGGCATAACATCTGAATGTTTTGTTGAAGCTGGAGAAAGTGTACAACCCTGAGAACGAGGAGGACGACATGGTTGAGATGGAGGAAGAGCGGCTGAGGATGAGGGAGCATGTCATGAATGAGGTCAGCTGAACACATGCAGCATGAAGTCCTGTTTGTCATTGATGCATCGCTGATTGGCTCTGATTAGGCCCGCTAAGTAATGAGGTCATTGCTGTGACTCAGCAGAGTGTGACAATAGATTACTCTTCATGTCCAAGATTTTTCTCAAAATGGTATAAATGACATACAAACTTCTGCATGCATATAGAAAAACCTTTTTTTTTTCTTAGTATAAAAATAACCATTTGATCTTAACACAGTGATTAAAGCTGCTTTCTGCTCCGATTTGTCAGGTGGACACAAACAAAGACAGGCTGGTGTCAATGAGTGAGTTCATAGCAGCAACCAAGAAGACGGAATTCCATGAGAAAGATGAGTGGGGGGTAAGATTTTAAAAATTCATCTCAGCATGAGATTATCACAGATTATCACCCTTCTGGTGTACTTTCTATTCAACAAACCACAGTGAGTTTGGCCGGAGATGTTCGTAGATCTGGAATATGTTGGCAAAATCATAATTGTATGATTTTTTTCTTTTTTTAACACAGGGCAACTTCTGAATCACAACGGTGTTGCATGTTGACATAGAATACAAATTGTGACAAACTTGTGTTTGTCATTTTTGATTTTTTTACTTTCTCTGCCCATCCCTCACAGACTTTAGATCAAAACCCTGCTTACACCGAGGAGGAGCTGAGAGAGTACGAGCAGCAAATCGCCAACGAGGAGGACGACATCAACGCCAAGACGGCCGAGCTGCAGAAACAGAGGGAGGAGCTAGAAAGAAAACAGGAAGAACTAAACGTTCAGAAGTCAGGGCTAAAACAGGTGAGTTATTGTTGTGAGTCTGCAAAAAAAAAAAAAAAAAAAAAAAAAAAGAAAAAAAAGAAAACAGGAAAGAAGTTGTTTTTTTTTTTTTTGTGAAGTAAAATACGCTGAGTTACCAGCGTATTTTAGGATTTTCACATCTTACCTGAGATGGGCAGATTAAACCACAACCTGCCCAGTTCATCTGAATTTAATTCAAGTTGGTCCATTAATGTTTTCCTGATGAAATCTTTCCTTTCTATGCTGTTTGTTTCCTTCGTTCTTCTGCTCAGGCAATGGAAGAAATGGAAAAGATCAAAGCGCAGAGTTTAAAAGCTGAAGTAAAACGTAAGTATCAGATAGTTTTAACTGCTGTCAGTTTATCCCAAAGAGTTTAACATTTACTCTTAAAGCTACTGACTCAGTTAAAGCAGGTTTGAGGTTTCTCATGGTTTCTGTCTTGTGTTTTGTTTAAGTCAGAAATTTAGAAACATTTAACAAGAAACAGTCATAATTTTTTTGCCACGAGTTTCCAGTAGATTTGGATGGTACTCTTTACACTGGAGCTCAAATTTGACAAAGAGTAGTTTTCAGTTGTCCAATTTTCCATCGGACTTTGACTGGTCCATTCTAAGACACTAATGTTGAGCTTACTCTGTATCTTTAATGTTCTTGCTCTGCAAATCAAGAAGGGGGTGCAGTGGTTGTAGTTTTGTGGTCGATCACCAATCTTTAGAAGGCTTGAGGTATCAATTTTCTTTTCCAGAACCGTATCAGTCAGAGCTCACTTTTTTGAGAAGAAGTTCCTAAATGTAGAGAGGAAGTCCCTAAATTGGCACAGTGGGGTGACCTTTGTCAGCTGTGGATGTGCAGATGTGATCCGGTGGGAGGGTCTGTCAGTCAGCCCTCTGTCACAGCAGAGCAAAAGGAGACGGTGGCTGATTATCAGAACTTTGTAGAGGTACATGAAATCAATCAGTGCGCCTCTAAAAACAAGAATAAAGTGCTTGATTACATGTTTGTTCCTTTATGTCAAACAAACCACTTGTAAGAAGCTATAAAGTCCATGTTTCCAGGAATTGAAGCTAAATTCTATGATCGAACAAATGTCACTTCCTGTTGCAGAGCCCGGAGGCGCAATGGCCGAGGGGAAACCGGCACCAGTCGTACCAGGAAACGCCCAGCCTCTGCCTCCTGGTCACCAACAGCAGGATGTGCCAGTGCCAGGACACTCCTAGGCCTCCCCTCCCCATCACCCTGTCTGTTAATGAGTGAGCGTCTTTGTGCATTTTCTTTTTGTGAACCAATTTTTCTGTTTAAAAAACTAACGTCCTGATTTAAAAAAAGCCCAAAAGCATTACGCGCCCCCTGAAGGAAGCCGATTCAGGGATCAGGTTTAGCGCCAGTGCCAACCGTCCCTTTGCTAGCCAAATCAGCTGAACGAGCCAGAGTTTTCCTTCCGGACAATCGCTTCTTTTGTTTTGAGTATTTCAAACTTCCATCCCAACAAGGACTCTGTGTCCATTGTGGGAAAATTCTCTGTAAATGAAGGTTTGTTTTTTTTTTGCAGGCACTGCGGTTTGCTTTGGGTGACATTATCTACAGCAAACATTACAAATATGTGTTTTTGTTGTTCAGAAATAATCTTGAAGGAAAAGAAAAAAGAATGTCAGTAAAGAATCATTTTGGTTTAAGTTCACTGATGCACTTCCTGTTTTACATGCAGCATTTCTGTTTCGTAGCCATTGTGTCCTCTGGACTGGACAGTCGAAGAAAAGCTCATCTCTGCACTGTACATTGAATTTGAACATTTCACAACTGTGACATTCCAGCGACAAATCTGTGATACCTGATGTGACATCACATCAGATACAAAGAACACACTGGTCCTTGTTTAGTATGTCCGCCACTGCTCCACAGTTTGTGTTGTGTTCATGACCATTTATTTATTCTCTATATCCACTGGAAATGTCCTCCCTTCAAGAAGTTTGATGACATAAATGAAGAGAGTATGAGTTAATTCTCAGGGGACTTCAGATTGTTTTATTTAATCATGATTTTATACCACTTAAACATTGCAGCAAAACAGAAAACTGGTAAAACTCTTTTTTTTTGTTAGTGTCCTGTGGAATGATGTCATTGTGTACATGGTTTGACTGTTACTAATTAAATGAATGACCTAGCAAGTGTAATGCTTGTGTCTTTGCATCATTTGCCTACGTGTTTCTTTAAAATGCATTCTTTACTTTCCTGGCCAACAGAAAAGTAATTTACATCCTATTCCATCCAAATCAGGTGTAAAGCCATTGTAGAATCTAAAAGGTCACTTGATTTAATCATAAGTCTTAAATTTAGTCTTGGCTGGACTATTTATTCTCTCTCTCATAAATTAAGTATATTTTTTGTTCCATATTTTTTTTCTTCTTCATTTGTTAACTTTTCTATCAGGCAAAAGTTTGAGTCGCACTCAGAGGTCTTCATTGCGTTGAGACTGTTGAGGCTACCGCTAACTAGCTGCTGAGATGCCCTTGCTAGCTGGCTAGCATTTTAGCTTCTCTCATATCATAGCATGGGTAAGTAGTATTTATTTATTGCCAGTTTGCCGGACGGAACTTGTACATGTCTGTAGATATATGTATCTTAAATTTCTTTCATAATTATTTTGAAAACATCTCGAGTCTGTGAAACCCGTAGAAACCATCTCCGTGTATGATGTAATGGGGCGCTCTGCCGTTTGCGCAATGTTTGAGCAGAATGAAAAAAAAAAACAAGTTTGAGCAGAGTGACGAGCGTCTTTTTTTCAGTCCTTTCCGTATGACTCGCTGAAGCGCTGTAAAAGGTAGTCGCCTCCGGTGATGGGAGGATATTTGTTTGAGCCGTCGCAGCAGGTGATTCGGGCCTCGTTGTCCGGCTGGACGAAGAAAGCCAAAGACTGGCGAGTGCTGGAGTCTCCAACAGGGGGCAGCAAAACCCGGTGACGCTGAAAAGGCAGGAAGCAATACCGCTTTGCATATTGTCCCTTAGCTCCAATAAAATCACAAATACAACAAACTTTGTACCCCACAGTACAGTAAAATGTACTTTTCATTTTCACTTAATGTTAAATTCTTTAAAAAAAACTGAGGTAGTAATCAGTACAGATTTGAAAAAAAATGTGCATGTCTATTCTCAGTAACTAATACAGGAAGTGAAAATATTCCTTTATTTTGGAATATGCCTGGATAGTTGTTTTCTTATTTACTGTAAGAGTTAATTCAAAGCAAGACAGATCATTAATGAAGGATTGTTTTTGGTTTTTGATTATAATCTGTCAGCAAGTCTTTTAAAAGGCCTAACTTCAGAGAAAATTTTACACCAATTTTCTTGTTCAAATGTGTGATGGCCGCATTGACTGCCTGGAGTGGTGAACAAAATGTATGGCATTCTCAAATTTTGATCCAGGAACATCATTTCAAAGTCCGCAAAACGGCCCCGGAGCCTCTCTTTAGACACCCTTGCTTAGATTTTTTTCTTAAAAATTTTATTTTACCCTCTAAAGAAGAAGAAAATATGTAAAATCTTTTTAAGTTACCACAGAGAGCAGCTGATCACTCGTCCAGCGCTGCATCAGGTCAGCGACGTTGACCAGGACAGTTCCAGGGATAGTAGGAGTCGAGATGAATTCCCCTGCGCGCGTGCAGACCTGCAACATGATGCATGACATGACTAAATGATCTAAATCTAAGTCAAAGGGAGATGTCAAGAAAGGAGCTATAACTTCTTTTGGGTGAAAATAGGTACATTTCAATATTAATCCCTGGAATTACCTGCAGACCCTCAGAGCCCTGGAATAGCAGGGTGATGCTTCCGTAGTCAGAATGTTCCCCACATCGCAGCTGACCTTCCTTCACTGTCTCACTCTTCAGCGGAGGGTAGTAGAGAGAACGCAGCGTTGTGCCGTTCTCATCGGCTGCAGGAGACACAGCAGCTCTCTAAATGCATGTCAGCTCAGATGATTCATACACATGACAGCGTATCAGGGCCAGTGTACGCAAAAGAAAAAGCAGTATATTTCTGTCAAAAAGGAAAAACTATTCCGAGAAATCTTTGAGAAATTTCTGAGTTTGAAAAGTTGAAGGTTTGCTTTTGACTTGATTGCAGAAATTTTCGAGACAAATTTTTGAAATTTATGAGTTGTTTTTTTTGCGCTTTGAAACTTAGAAATTTTCCAAATGTCCTCAAAATTTTCTTGATTAATCTCTACATTTTTTTACTTTTCAAACTCATATATTTCTGATTTTTTTTCTTGAAAGTTTCTGAGATCACTTGCAATTTTTTTTACTTTTCTTGCAAATTTTCAACTTTTCAGTCTCAGAAAATTTCTAGAAAAACTGACATTTCTTAGTTTGAGGTCAAAAATGTTCCATCTTTTCAAACTGTTGAATATTTGAGATTTTTTTTTTTTCTCAAAATAGAGTTTAACCTCCAAATTTTTTTTAAAAAAGTTTTTTCTTGCAAATGTTCAGCTTTGTAATCTCAGAAATGTCCAAGTTTTTCTTGAAAATTTCTGAGCTCAATTGCAAATCTTGAGTTTCTGGTGGAAATTAAATTTTTTTTTTCTCCCACCTATAATGACCTTAATACGCCATCGTACGTACATCCTGCTGAGCGAGTTTCATGATTCTTTTTACCAAGAGCACCATTCCCTCCAACTACATTGTCCACCAAAGCACCGAGAGACTGAAGAACCTACTTCCTATGAATTGATGCGCATTTAGGAATACGTCCGGGTCCAGACCCAGGCTCTGGGCCATCAGCCTCAGCACTCGCAGACTCAGCTCTTTGCAGCGCTGGAAGAACGCCGTGTGGATCTCTCGGAAGTCCCTCACTGCGTCTGATGACGGCCATTTCTGCAGAACGGACAGCAACTGACTGGCCTGACCAGGAGATTTTGCAATGACCCAAAGTGCTGCGCTTTCCAAAGTTTGCACCTGCAATTTTACAGAGCAGCATGCTGAATAAAACATTAAGTGAGTCATTACTATGTCGGGGTGAAATGATGCCACGTTAAATGCCTCCTTTAGGTCTCCAGGCTGGCTGGGATTCAACCTAGAAAAGTATTAATCTGGATTAAAAATCACTCTTGAATTTTTCCGCTTCACCAACACAAATGTCTACGAATGTTTTTTTTTTTTTATGATTTGATGCGTAGCCTTACACAATTAAAAATGCAAAACTGAAGCATGCACCAATGGCGTGCCTCAGAGCTCTGACCTTGGTCTTTTATTTTTAGCTTTATTTTTCCCCCCACACAAATCCGTTTTTCATCTGGGATTAGTGGAGTTCATGTGGCACTTTAGAGGTGGGATACAAAAGCAAAGCCACCCTTTTCTTTTTCTTTTGCATCTGCATCTGCAGGGCCAACCTCTCTGCCTCCATGGACACCCAGCCGTGGTTGGGGTTGTTTGGGAAGCTCGTCCTGCTGAATCCCTCCTTCAGCTCTTCTGGCTGCAGGAAAAACCTCTTAGATGACTCCATGACGCGCTCCACCTACGAAAGGCACGCCATATGTTCACATTTGGAGGACGCAGTCAGAGCCAGTGTGCTCGGCCGGACTCACCTCCTCTTGGGTAATCCCAGAGTTTTTAAGGAAGGCGAACCCCACTTGAGAAAACGCGGCCTTCAGCTCCTCGCTCAGACGCTGCAGCTCCTCGCCGGCGGCGTCTCTCTCGCTCAGGCTGTAGACGCCGAAATCCACTACAGGAATGATCATCTCGAAGACGTTCAGTGGAAACTCTGAAAAGTCTGGAGGCGAAACGCGCACCGTCGCAGCTCTCGCTCCGGGGCGAGCAGGAACCACGTGACGGTCCTCAGCCAATAGGAGCAGGTCACACGACGCGCTCTTCTCAACCTTTGGATGCTGAGTGCAGGTGAAATCCAAAGGTTGGCACCTGGTTGAACATTTCATGAAGTTGGGTTTTTAACGCTGGAGTTTATGTCGGGAGGTAGAAAATGTTTGACCCGAATAAAGAGTGGAGCATCTCCTTTGCAGGATGCGGGTTTATGGGAATTTACTACGTTGGCGTCATCGGCTGTATCCTCGAACGGTTTCCTCGATTCATTCGAGATGCCTCCAAAGTCTACGGGGCCTCTGCAGGGGCCCTGATGGCTGCCGTCATCACTCTGGGAATCCCCCTGGGTGAGTGGGGATTCTCCCCTGTTCATTTATTGATCAAGTCAAGAAAAAAAAAAAAACAATCTCATAGTCAATGACATAGTTCTGCGCGGATTTTATTTATCTAGGTGAACTACTGAGATAAATCTCTTAATGGCACAAAAACATTTTTCAACTGAATTGATTTTCCAAACTTACAAATTGTCTATACCTCCTTTATGACGTCTACCACGTTCACTGTAAATGTTTACAAATCATTACCTGGTTGGAAAGCCAAATGGAGGGATATTTTTGGATTTAAAACTCCTTTTTGCCATTTTTATTGTTTTGCAGAAGATATTTTAGACTCAAAGGCTTCCTAACAAGAATTTAGGACAAACCTATGGCAATATAACTAATAGATATTATCTTATGGCACAAAGGAGCTTTATGACAGATAATGTGATAAAGCTCTTTATCTAGAGCCACCACAGCTCTTCTTTATCTGTGATGATAAAGAAGCTGGTGACCAACAAACTCAATAGACGTTTACATCCCTGTTAGCATTTGCTCAATTTTTCTCAGTTTAAATAGAATTTTTCTGTTGTTATTTTCAGATCTTAAATTTTGTACCATTTTTAAAATGATCTGTTGTATGTTAGTTTTAATAACTTTGCAGTGTTTTATATTGTGATTTTGTCTTTAATGTACAGTGTGTTACTCATAGTTTTGTTTTTCATAGTTATTTATTTTTTTACTTTTGTGTCAACCTACATGCCTGGACTCCCTGCCACTTTACAGCTGTTGCACCTGAATTTCCTAACCCTACGATATTTCTCCTGTATTCTAAAGTTTGTGGCTGCTGCGTGGCAAATTGCACCGTGTCTGATTGCTGTACTTTTACCTGTGCGCAGATAAATGCTGCACTGATTTGATGCACATGGCCAAAGAGGCCAGGAAGTACAAACTGGGGCCCCTGCACCCGGCTTACAACCTACTGCAGCTGGTGCAGCAGTCGCTGCTGGAGAAGCTCCCAGAGGACGCTCACCTCCGAGTGTCCGGGAAGCTCAGCTTGTCCCTGACCAGAGTCTCTGATGGGAGGAACTTGCTGGTGTCCCAGTTCGACAGCAGAGAGGAACTCATTCAGGTAAATAAATGGATAATGCTGGTAGGAATAGTTGGTTTTTATGAGTCAAAATTACATTATAAACACACTTTAGGCATTTTGATGTGTGATGTAAAGTTTAGGTTAAAACCACGACTCTTTTTGGGTTAAATTGTGTTTGAGCCACTGAAATCTTGTTTTTTTTTCTCCAGGCCCTCATATGCAGCTGCTTTGTGCCGCTCTACTGTGGTGTTGTTCCGCCCACTTACCGCGGAGTGGTGAGTGAACTAGCAAACCTCCATCTGTAACACTTGACAAGTCACACTCCATAAACATAAAGCTACTGTTACATCTTATTAGATTGTTTCATATTACATTATGAATCAATCCTGGCAGCTGGGATCAAATTCAGCCCAAGGCATATGCGAGTTAAGCAGCTGCCTAGGTCCTCCACACCACCAGGGGCCCACCAAGAGCAACAACCTGGCATGATTTTATATGTCTGCATATTTAAAATAACATTGGATGGTACATGCTAAATGCTATCACACATGAAAAAACACATTTTCTATTGTTTTTATAGTTGGTGCACAAATAATTAAGCACTTCCTGCTTTTTGGCTGCCACTTTGGGGAATATAAGACATCAAACTTGTGAATTTGTTTGCTATAAATTTTGTGTGTATCATCTGATATTTTGCAAATAACTAAAATACTGTTTCACACTTAAATACTACAATGCAACTCAAAATCCCAAAATAATTTTTTTGCTTACTGATTCGGTACAATAAAAATCAGTAGCTAAAATAACACTGGTATGTAAGCTAATTACAAATGATGTTAATGATATTTAGGTATGCTACACACATAGAGTAGCTTAGTATTTTTGAGTATGAGGCGGCCCGAAAATGAAAAGCTGCTAAGGGCTCCAAATATTCTTGGGTCGCCCGTCTCGGATAGATGATTCAACCTGTTTATATAATTCTAACTTTAAAAGATTAAGAACATTTTTGCCGAATAATCATTCCACCCTGAAAAACACCAAGGGCAGAAATGTTGTCAAATGAACCAAATTGATTCTGTCAGTGATGCAGACTTTTATTGCAATAAATACAGCAGCCGCATTAAATCCACTTACTGGGTGAGTTTTCATTCCTCCCAGTATTATGTGGATGGTGCCGTTAGCGACAACCTGCCCCGCTGTCAGCTGGGAAGAACAATCACAATCTCTCCGTATGCTGGCGAGAGTGACCTCTGCCCCCGAGCGAGCACGCTCACCTTCCACGAGGTGAGCTTCAACAACGTCAGCATCCAGGTCAACTCGGAGAACCTGTACAGGGTCACCAGCACTTTCTTCCCCCCAGAGGCTGAGGTGAGATACAGCTCCTCCTTACTTCCAGAGGTCTGTGGATGCTTTTGTGTATCTATTAAACTTAAAGGACTTTTTTTTTTCTTTTTTTTGAATAATTGTTATAAATTATACGTCACACAAAAAGAGGTGCTGATGCTTTCTGGACTCACTGTATAAACAACATGCGATATCCCGTATTTCATAGAATAGGAATGATCCAATTCAAATCTGTTCCACTTGCTCTCCCAACTTGCAGACAATGGCTGAAATCTGCCAGAGCGGCTACATGGACGCACTTCGCTTCCTGCAAGAAAACAGTGAGGCTCTGTTTCTCGTTTTCTTGCAAAAATAATCATGTGCACATAAGAGAAGTGTTGAATTCCTCATTTGCTAGACCGTGAACTGGAGATCAGTTTGTGAGCATTTCGTTTTCTCAGACATGATCAGCAGCGAGTCTCCCCTGAGGAGTTTGCAGGCCAATGCGACAGAGCGTGTCTGCTGCGACCAAGCGAAGGACCCACCCGCAGGTGAAGAGTCAGCTCAGAGAGATCACCCGTGGCTCGATCCGAAACTCATACAGAACCTGCCAGCTGAACTTCAGAGGGGTAACAGCTGCTGGAATGTTTACTTGTTTACTACAGAGGAAATCTATTTGATTTGAAAGGGCAAAAGAAATCAAACATCTAAATCTGACCCAGTTGTATTCAGCTCATCTGTGTTGCCTTGTATCTGTCAGTTTTATGTAAAGCCTGCAGGGAGACACACACTGCTGGGGGCTTGTTGACTCACATGACTGAGTACCTGCCCAAGAAGGTGGCATCTTATCTGCCCTTTGACTCCGCCCGCTCCGTGGCTCAGAGGTACCACCCTAAAGTCAATCCATCACCCTGCAACTTTCAACGCAACCATTTTTTTTTTTTTAGGAATGTAGAGTATGCTAACATAATGTTTTGCTGGATGTCTTCCTCCTTTTTCTCTGCATCCATTTCTTGCCCGGTAAATAATGACAAGAGTCCAGAGCTGAAAAACAAAAGCTTTTAAAAAATGAAAAACACAATGTGAAGAAAACTCAAAGAGAGTAAATCTTTTTGCATTTTCTTAGCCAACAGATGTTCATTTCAGGTAATATGAAGACGGTTGCACACTTTGCTTTCTTGAAAGTTTTAAAATAGCATTTTGTGAAGAATGATCTCTCTAACCCAACAAACTGGGTCACAATCTTGACATTTTTTAAATGAATTCAATTTATATTTGTACATTTTAAAAATTTATTTTTAATCATATAAATTTATAATCTGTGTTATAGTCGTTTATGCTACGACTGAAGACAATGATTCTCTATGCCTTTTTATAACCGAAACATGGTTCTCTGGAGGAGCCAGAGGCGTAGTGTGCATTTTTCACATTTTTTGATCCAATTGCTGAAACTCACCAGCCAGCTTTGAGGACAAAAATACACCCAGCTTTGAGGACACCCAGCTTTGAGGACAAAAAGAAATGGCCCAGCAGTTTATTGGTTCCATAAATTCCCGTAGATTTTAGACAAATATTGACTTTTATTCTAGCAGAAGGTTAGCGACTCTTCCTTGAATATGAATGTCTGAATAACTCCCTGACATGTTGGCTGCTTCTTCCAGAGTGAGGGGCTGGATTCCCGATGTCCCGAGGGACATGAGGTGGCTCTTCGGCGTGGATGCGAGCAAACAAACTTTGAAGGAAAAGTTGGAACGTGAACCCAGGTAGGCGGAGCAACGAATGAAGTCACATCCACTTTCCGTTGTTAATAAGTGATCAGGCTCTTAATGGTGTTTCGAAGAACAGATACGATTTATTACTCACATGAATGAAAGTTTGACCGTCTCGTGGCGCTGCCGGGTATTCCATGTGTGACCCTGTCCGTGTGAGATGACGCCTTGCTGTTCCTCAGACTCCGCGTTGTGTTAATGGTTGTCGTCGGAAGGAAACTTGAGGCAGGAATCGGACACACGGAGGTTGAGATCGTGGTTTAGACCATTTATTCGGACCAACAGAGCGCGGCGCCTTCCCCTTCAGAATTCACAGCAGATACTGCGTGTCGACATACGTCTCATTAACGCACTTATATTAACGAGTGCGTGTCTGTGTCTTTTGTTTACAGACACAGCATATATTAAAAGACAGAACGATACAAAACTAACTACTTGGACATTAAAAGTAACATTTGGCTGCAGTGAGGAGCTGGCAGTCAGTATGGCTGCCAGCGCTCAGTAACAGACGCCAAGTACTGCGTCCTTCAATGGACACACTTCACCAACTTCCACAACCCAAAGAACAAATCTGACATTTTGGTGGCACCTGCTGACATATTTAAACCACTGCCCTACATCCACCCGTTGTTTAATTGATGGCGTCCCTGTCATCAGACTAAATATAAAACAACCATGAACATATCAAGAAAATTAAAAAACACTGTGCAGTGTGTCAGTAAATTCCACTTAATGTAGTACAAGCTAGCCATACACTAAGTGTTTTGGTGCTTCTCTGGCTTTAGCTTTCTCCCACAGCTTCCGTCCTCTTATTATCTTCTGTTGAGTGTCTTCACTTTCCACTACTTGTGACTCAGGAAAATCTCTGGGTGTCGATTCCTCTGCATGTTCCTTCTCAGAGCAGTGGTTGTGATCCCTGAAGGTTCTGGTCCACAGGCTGAAGTGATCCTTTCATTCTTTACATTTTCTGCCTGGCATATTCACTCCTTCCATTTCAGACTCAACCTATTTATTTGTTGTCTCGGCTACAACTTCCTCCACATTTTCCTCCAGCTTTGTGGGCCCTGAGTGCTCCATCGCCTGCACGGTCACTGCAGAGGCTTGTCCTGTCATATCCTCTGCGTTCTCCGTTGTCTCTTCTGCATTGCTCTGCCTGCTCTACTGGGAGGAACATGCATTGTGTCAGAAGGTTCTGGTGGACCACCCTCTCAGTAGTGCTGTTTTCTGGTCGCACCACAGGCGTGTTGGGTTGCTCTTTCACCACAACGGTGGGTTTCCCATTGTCCCGAGGTCACCGTGGTTGACCCGGTGACCACATTTAAAGGCAGAGCTGGGTGGGGGTTGTTCCCATTCACCCTACTGGGATCTGGTAACGCTGCTCTGTAGACTCTGGCTATGTTCCCTTGTTTACGGGTTCTGTGGCATGTCACAGTTGAGATTTGGGCTCGGATTGGATGCTCTATGGACGCCTGGACTTGTGGTGGAGGGACAGGCAACGCAGCAGCAACTCTTGAGTCCAGGTAGGTCAGTTTAGTCATTTGCTCTGCTTGGCACAGAGCTAACTTTTTAACCAGTTCTGTGGGCTCTGACAACTTTGAACGAAACATTTTTGCACTGGAGAGTTGCATCTAAATGACCTCACGTTACCTTTGTAAAGCCAAATGATGCCTGGTAAATCATTAAGAGTTTCTGGATGTGTTTTTTTTTCTCTTTTCCCCTCAGGCCACCACGATTGCGCAGGTGCTCAAGCCTTCCGTCCGACCTGCACTTGTGGGACAGAGAAGAAGAAGTCAATCTTTTCCCAGAGGGTCCAGAAGGCGCGAAACCCCCTCCAGCTGAGGGGAGAGGCTGGGGCTTAGGCAGAGCGCTGGGTCTGCTCCGAAGTTTGGGATCAGAGCAAACGTCAGACCCTAAATAACCTGCAGATGCAGAGTTTTGTCTCTGCAGCGAACTCACTCTGTTTTTTATTATTCTTTTGCCTGACTTTCTGATTTATTTTGATTCTGTCCAAAAAAAAATCTTCTCACGGTTTTTATTTATATAACTTTTATAAAAAATTATTTTTTGTTGAAACTATGTTGTGACAGTTTGGTATGAGAAATCTAACTCCCCGCTCTTTCTGGAAGCAACCAATCAGAGCCAGGAGGCGGGTCTTAGTGCTGTCAATCACTCTCAGAGTGAATAACATTATAAGATTATGTAAATCTAAAAAATAATAAAAACATTTGTTACACAATACTACCAATTGTTGAAAGGAATCAAATAGTATTTATTATTAGAAATATCCCAAAACTGATAACAATAAAAGGAGCAGCATTTAGGATAAGGTAGATTATGTGTGTGTCTGTGTGGGGAGGTGAGTGAGTGGCTCATACTTTTTTTTATTTTTTTTTTAATCCTGCTAAGCCCCGCCCCTTCAAGATAACGCATGTTTCTTCAGCCCAGCGGGGAATCCAGATGCAATCGGCTGCGGCGTCGGGATCTCCGCAAAGGATCGGGAGATAAGAATGGTTTGAGTTCTGCTGGACGGGAGACGGATGGAGAATGGTGGACTTGTCCTCGGAGTGGAGCATCTCTTTCGCAGGCTGTGGATTTCGGAGCATCTATTACGTCGGAGCCTTGAGCTGCATCCTGGAGCGGGTCCCTCAGCTGGTGCACGGAGCCTCTATGTTCGGGGGGGCCTCCTCCGGTTGTCTGGTGGCAGCAGCTTTGGCTGTGGGGATTCCTATTGGTGAGTCCTCCATAGAACCACGCTGCTCAATATCTCTCAAATACATAGAAGTATGAATAAAATCGTCATTTATTCGTGGTGTATCAGAAAGTTTCACACGATGCCGTCATTCAGATCTAAAGTAAAGACTTTCTGATACTTTCCCAGTTCTGCGTTTCCTCAGATCAGGTGTTCGTCGTGCTGTACGCGGCTCTCAGCCAACGGGGGAAACGTGAGGGCAAATTCCATAGTTCAGTCATATTCAGAGATAACTGACGTGAATCAAAGCAAAACAACACATTCACAACAACAGGTGAAGTCAGTGGGTTGGTTAAAGATTTATCAGGTCACAAAAAGATTTTGAAAGCAAGACTAAAAAATGATTTTTAAAATTTTTTTTTTACGTTTGTTAAAACTGTCACCATGTCATTACTGCATAACATCAGACATTTAATCTGTGAAAATGTCCAGCTCCTACAGCTTCTCTCCACTAATGCATCTCTTCAGTCAGAAACAACCAATCAGAGACAGGAGGAGGGTCTTGTCGCTGTCAATCAACCTCTTCTTGGTGCAACTAAAAATGCCCTAGTGGGAGAGAAGCAGCCGTTTATCCATACATCATTGGTGGACATGCTGACCATTTATGATGGGCTATGTTGTGGTGAACCAGCTGCAGTGTGGTTGAGAAAGAGTGATTGACAGCGGTAAGACCCTCCCCTGGCTCTCATTGGTTGTTTCTGATTAGATCTGGGAGAAGGCAGAGTCCCTTGATTTATTTTTTTTGTTCCCCCCAGTACATCATCTGCCTCATACCATCCCAGTTTTAAAAATATGTAAAAAACAAAACAAAACAATGCATTACAGTTACATGCCTCAGCTTTACTGTCATTTATGAAGTCTGAACCTCTCTCCCTCCTCAGAACATCTGTGTTTCAGCATTTTAAACCTGGCAAGGGAGGCCAGAAAACACACTCTGGGAGTTTTCCACCCGACCTTCAGGATGCTGCAGTCGGTGCGGCACTCTTTGCTGGAGAAGCTTCCACAGGATGCCCACCTGAGGGCGTCAGGGAGGCTCTGCGTGTCCCTCACCAGGCTGGCGGACGGACAAAATGTCCTCGTGTCGAAGTTTGACTCTAGAGAGGAGCTCATTCAGGTCAGAACTGAGGCTCACGCCGTTGCACGACGGACGGCAGAACAAGAGCAGATCAAAGCGATCGCTCGCGAAGTCAAAGATGGGAATGTAGTTTTAGGCAGCTGGAGTGATTGTGCTTCTCCTCACAGGTTCTCATGTGCAGCTGCTTTTTTCCAGTCTACTGCGGCTTTAAACCGCCGTCGTACCACGGAGTGGTGAGTTTGTTCCCTCTGCGTTGTTTTCACACCCAGGATGAACTCAAGTTGACGTAACTCAGCAGCGACAGCGTTTCAAGCCAAAAAACATTTCTAAAAACAAATCGGCAACTAAGATGAGAAATTCTGCTTGGAAAATTAAATTAGGAAACAAAAAAAAAGAAAGAAAACCAGTTTAAACACGAGCATTTAGAGGAATTTTAAAGTTCTGATACAAAAACAGGGAGGAGATCCACTTTTTGGAAGCTGGTTTTACATGCAGCAGTTTCCAGGTGGTGGATGGGAAAATTCTAGAAAGCATCAACTGGACTGGTTTTGCGATTCTGCACTGCAAAAACGCAAAATCTGACCAAAGTTGGACTTTTTTCAGCTAGTTCCTGATGCAAATATTTTAGCACACCTGAAATAAACTGACTGAAGAGTAACATGTTAACAAAACTACTCATCCCTCCAAATCCCTGAATTCAGGGATTTTTAAAATCAACTCCATGGCAACAGATGTGTAAAAATCAAGCACTTGGGCTCAGAACCTGGACGGGCTTTTTGTTCCCGGTCGTCTGGATTCACAGTGACCTCTGCTTCCTCAGCGCTATGTGGACGGAGCTCTGAGCAACAACATGCCCCTGTTTGAGCACAGAAACACCATCACCATGGCACCCTTCTCGGGCGAGAGCGACATCTGCCCTCGGGAGGGGACCTTCAACTTCATCGAGGCCCACTACAGCAACGTGAGCATTCAGGTTAACACCGGCAACGTCTACCGTGTGTGTACGTCGTTCCTCCCGCCGTCGCTGGAGGTGAGTGGAAATGGAGAAATGTGATTTTCAGCTCCAGTCTCGACGTAGACGGACATCTGGGACAAACGAATTTGTTTTTATGCTCTTTGGCCTGTCCACATGAAAACTGATCGTCCTCAAGCGTCACTAAAAGCTATTACTTATAAAAACCCAAACAATGGTTGAAAAAATTCCACGGGGAAACAGAGATTTACATTCCCATGTATTGCAGATTGCAACAATTTTTCCATGTACTTCCTTTGACATGATTCCCAACCAACGTCATCTTGTATGATACGTTTGCATTCATCATGTAGATAAAAAAAAAACTTTCTGAAATCGACTCGGTGTTGTACAATATCACTTTTGTAAACAATGTGGCAGAAATGTTTGCTTTTACAGAGACCCGGCTACATGTGCATGTTTCTTAATCCTGATTTCATTCTTAAAGTTCAACAATGAACAGAGCAGGTGGAACAGAGAAAACCTCCCAGTTCCTTCTTTGTGTTTTTGTCTCAATCAGAAGTTAGCTGAGATCTGCCACAATGGCTACGTGGACGCGCTTCGTTTCCTGGAAGAAAGGGGTGAGCATTCCCACGTCCATCCTCCCTCACAGCAGGTCTGTAAAACCTTTATTTTAATGCCGTCTGCAAAGTTGGGCCCAAGTACATCGCCGGTCAAGAATTTGTGAATTTAGATCTGCCCGGTGCGAAGCACGTCCCTCCCGAGTCCGTCGCTCGGGAAAGGCTGGGCCGCGCCTGCTCGTCGTGAGCCTGGAAAAGAGCGAGCTGATGCAGAAGAGGCCAGGCCGGCGAAGAGGCTGCAGCGCAAAGAAGGAAACCATCAGCAGGAGCAGAGGCAGCTCAGCCACAACGTCCCCCACAGGCTCCCTGCCAATATCCAGGAAGGTCAGCGTGGAAACAAACACTATCGATCCTGACAGCAGTAGAGATGCAAGTTTTCCAGGAATCACTTGGTCAAAGTCTTTTTCAATACAAACTGAAACAAGATGATATGTTTCAAATGTTTTCTGAAGCGGACCATAAAGTTTGCGTTTTGCTTGTGTTTCCACATGTTAGTGCTGCGTGAGGCGTGCCAGCAGAATCACGACCCAAGCGGCTGGTGGTCTCGGTTTATTCACTTCCTCCCAATTAAAGCCGTCATTTACATGCTGACCCTGCCCCTCCGGCCTGTCCAGCTCAGCCTCTCGCTTGCCAAAGGTAAAGTATATTTGAGGTTTGTTTTTAATAAAACGAAATGAAAAAAAGAGTAAAGAAATGGAGATTCTGGAGCGATGGCTCCAAAAAGGTTTGTCTCGAAGATTTAAGGTGTTGCAAAGCACGAACTTGGCGGATTGCTCATCTCTCTCTTTCTTTAACTTATTATTAGAAAGAGTCTTTTGGGCCGGACCGCGCTGACCGCACAGAGGGAGACACAAATTCTGAACCAACACTACTTTTAGTCCAATTGTTCATTTGGTCCTCTGTTGGTTTTTGTATCAGGATAAGATTTTCTAAAAATGTCAAGATGATGTTGGACACAGAAAGCATGTAAAAAAGAAAAAGTGTCCATTTACGAAACTATATGTAAACTATTTTATTTAACTTCATAATTTCTAATGGGCTTTCTCTTGTAAAATAAAGGTCATATTTTCTTGAACCCCATTTTTTTCTTGAGTTTATCTATAAAATTCACATAAAAAGAGAAAACTGTAAAACACCTTTTAATAACTTTGAATGACTACTTCATTGATTTTAAATCCTGTTCAAATTGTGCAGAAACCCCATAAAGTGAGTGATGAGTCAGTAGAATAACATTTTAATCAAGAAATGTTTCATAAAATCCAATGACAGTTAATAAACATACCATAATCCAAAGCATCTACAGTAAAAAAAAAAAAAAAAAAAACATCATAGGTTGTGTAACTTTGAAAGGCTCGTCAGCGATCCAGCTGCAGGGCCCATGATGTTAATGTGTGGTTTCAACGAGTCGCCTTTGTGCGTCATATCAGTTCATAGCACCTTGAGTGTAGCGGTAATCCTGATCGGATTGAGCTTCAAGATAACCTGGAGGCAGTCTGTCTACTGGAAACAGTAGATTATGATGTAGACTCCCACTGCAGCACAGTGCAGTCAGTCCTCAACAACACAGCCATTAAAAACAAATGCTTAAATACACAGATGTCGACAAAGACAGCCAGTTATGTCCCTGATTTGCACGTGTAAAATGGCTCATGAATATACATATATAAAAAAAAAACGATAAAAATAAAATGTGCAGAAAAACCAACATTCTGCAGTTTCAGTGAAATCCTAAAAGTGTTTGTACTTCACTTTGCTAAAAAACAAAACAAAAAAAAAACCATCTAAAACCTAACCGACTGCGGTTTGGAGATTGAATTAGCTAATGTCTCTGGAAAGTAACCAAGACTTTTCTTGTCTTCCTCACACGCTGCCGGCGTTTGGTCCGCTGCCGATGTTGGGAATCTCGTCGGCAAACGACTGGGTCATCCACTGTCCGTGTGGGAGCTGACCCTCTGATTGGGATGTGGTCGCCTCCTGTGCTCCTTCTGAGGACGGGCCGCAAACAGACAGATGCAGACGGAGGATTATTGAATGTATCACTCCAGCGGCGTCAAAAGCATGGAAATAAAATGATTTTCAATTTACTTTCATTTTTAGACATTTTAAAGATTATGAATTGAATTCAAGACCCATATCTCCACAGAAATGTATAAAATTTATTGAGTCACTTTGCAATAAATTTGCATCTATGACTCAAATAGCAAGCAAGCTAGAATGTTAGTGTATTTTAGCAGCTAGTTAGCAGTAGCCTCAATCGTATCGAGTCAGAACGTAATGAAAATGTCTGCGTGCAACTCAAAACGTTTACCTGACAGAAAAGCCCCAGAAAACATAGAATGAGATTGGGGCCCTAATTTTAAGTATGTGGACTTAAGACTTTTTAAGGAGTTTTAAATACCTTTACTTAAGCTAGTTCTCAAGCTGTGGGAGCCCCAACTTAAGTATAGATAAATGATTGAAGATGTCACCTCAGTGACACGCGTTTCAAATAAATCCCATTATTCTGTCCTGTTAGGATTCGTTTCAGGTTTAGCCGTCTGCTGGTGGTTACCTGAGATGGCGGTAGACGAGAGCGTACAGTGACCGTTGGTCTGACTATTGGCCTGGCCTTCTTCAGCTCCTCTCTCCACATACGCGCCGCCGTAGGCGTCCTCATATCCCGGGTCGTACTGCTCCTCCTTTATGGCTAACCTCTTGGCATCCTCTGTTGGCGTTCGGAGAGAAAATAAAACAAGACGCTGAATGAAACTCAAATCAAACCGCCTGTCATGCTGTAATATTAGCGTGTAAAACGGTTTAAATCATTTCCTCTAGCTTATCTAGCTCAGATATGCACATTGATAATGAAGCCTACCCTTAGCTAACTGAAGATCGAACGTGTAGTTGACTTCCTCGATCTCGGTGGCCTTCCGGATGCCCTTCAGTTGATCCCGGAGCTCCCGCAGTTTGATGTAGAAGTGAACTTTGTCCTGAGCTCGAGGAAACTGGGCACAGCGGGCGCTGGAGGAAGGCATCAGGTACAAGGCCTGGAGGGGCAACCAATCACCAGAGAAGAACCTCTGTAGTTTAGACATGCTAAGCTGCCTGTAGGATTTCAATTAGCAACAGGTGATCTTTGTTTACTGCTGAGACAGATCTGATGACGAGACGTCATTTACCTTCTCGGCACATTATTAGCAGTTTGCGATAATAAGTTTTTGTCTGGGAAGTTGGTGAGAACAAAACTGTGGTTTAGGTTGGGATACTAAAAAATATTCATGTTGTGAAAGAAAATATAGCTTTTAAAATGTCACCAACTGGCTGTGATGATTGTTTTAATTGCTAAACATTTTAATAACACTGGTGTGGTTAGTTTTTTCTTTTTTTTTTCAAAAAAGTAAACAAAGGTCCTCTATGTTAAGTTTGGATTTGCCTATTAATTAATTAATTAATTTTTTTCAAACTTGATGATAGCACCGTAAGCCACACTACACACCGCCAGGAAACTTTTTTTCCCTCCTTTTCCACATTTTATAATGTTACCAAGACGGCGTCTTAAGACTGTTGCACACAAAAGATTCCCGCCAAAACAACTAAAGAACATTTCTTGAGTTTCAAAAGGTGAAAATGTTTTTTATCCCCCTCCAAAATTTCTGAGATTAATTACAATTTTGTTGTAGTTTTCAAGATTTCTGCTCTCACCACATCACATTCTGGGATCTTGTGCGGCTGCAAACCGAATTCCAGCTTTTGTGGTTTCTTGCCAAACAGTTCCCTGCAGAACATTTCATAGATGCCTGGGAAGAAAAAAAGTGCCATGTCACTTTGTATCAAATCAGTGTTGCTCTGAACATCGCTGAATTGATGATGGGGGTGAAAGCGTACATTTTCCATTGAACACAGCAATGAGCGGTTTGTACTTCTTCAGCTTCTCCACAAGGATTTTACCTCCTTCTCGCAATTCTTTACTGATGGGGGGGGAAGAAAAATAACAAAATGCAGCATTTTACCAAAATCTGAGGTGGATATTTTCCTTTTTTTTTAAGTATTCACTAGTTTACATGGCTACCTTGAGAGGTCTTTGCTCCCTGGTGTTGCTCTGGATACCATATTGGTGAAGCCCATTTTGTATTTGACCGGCAGCGTCGTGTCGTGCATGTGGTTGAGCTGCTCCTCGGTAAATCCCGACAGAAACAGGCATTTCCCTGGAAAAAAAACCCAATCTGTGTTTAGAACATGAACAAATGCGAGTGGTTCCCTAAACACAACCGAAGGTGGGACTGGATTTCATCCAGAGCCAAACAGAACCCAGTTCCAAATTCATATTATTTCACCAAGCTTCAGAAATTCCTGAAGAAAAACTGTTTTAAAAATCCTAGAAGAATTAAGATCATGAATGCAACACTGGACGGTGCAGGAAACCCACCAACCTAAACAACTGTGTTGTTTCTCAAGTGGTGATCGTAGCTGGCTTGGATTAACGCTAACGTAGAATCAACCTCGCTTACGCCGACAGATACTTAAAACATCAAAACATCATGTCTGAAATGTGCAGCTTACGACTAAGTTGGCCTCATTTCCAAAACTTTTCGACACAAACCTCATACTGCAGCTGTTTCTAAGCAATAGCGGAGACTGATAACTGTTTGGCCGTTATTTCCTGGGACTTTTAAATTTTGATTGAAATTACAAATTTTGTGAAGAGTTCAACTAAAACAGCCACTGTATTCCCCGGCCTTACAAACGGAAGCTCACGAAGAACTAGAAAGTATGGGAAATGCCTAAAAAGATCGATGTGGAAATTTTTTCCACCCTTCTCGGCTGAACGATGCTGCCAAATTTGCAGCTCTTTGCGCTGTGAAAAATTCCAGCCAATTTCAGGTCATTGCAGTAATTGCAGCGGGAGTGAAATTAATCTAAGAGACGCTCTTTTAATTGAAAGATAACTCGCTAGATATTGAACGTTCCAGTTCTTACAGATACATCTGCAAATATAAGTACTCATAGGCCATCTAAAGTAAGAAAATATATCCATGAGATTTGAAACTTAAATTTAAAGGGTTAAATTGCACAACATCATGTGTATTCAAACTATGGTGGCACTACAGGCACATTGTTACCACTTTGGCACAAATAAAAAATAACCGTTGCATCAGAACTCACAAAAATGATTTCCAGGTCCTGGAAACCACCGGCCAATAAAAGCTGCCATGAGTCCTGGGTTTATACCGATCTGCAAACAAAACAAGACACCGCTACAGTTACCAAAACCCTGAAGTCCCTCCAAACACCGAGAACCAGGTAAAAACTGGACCTTACAATGACATAGTCCAGGTTGTAATCCAGCAGGTCGGGCAAAGTCTTCTTCATGACTTCCTCCTCCGTCATCCCTTTGAAGCGGTCCACTTTCCTCTTCACCTTCTTGAAGCTCTCATCGATCTTCTCCTGCTTGCCTTCACCCTGAGCCCCAGTGGCCTTCTTGGGTTTTGGACCCGGTTTAGCTTTTGGTGCATTTGGGTCTTTTGGTGGTTTTGGGGCTTTCGGGACCTTTGGGGGTTTTGGTGCTTTGGGGATTTTGGGGGGCTTTGGTGCGCCTGGTTCCTTGGGTTGAACTCGTCTACCCCTCTTTTTAGTTGGAGCTAGAAGAAAAAAGGTTGTACAACAAAAAGTGTCTTTTAGAACTTTATGATTGATGGTTGTTGCCTCAGACTGTGATAATGTACTGGTGTTACAACATCTCTAGACTTAATTCTTTGACTATTAGATTCCCATGCTTCATATTAAAGGTGCAGTATTATATAAAAACAACTTTTTGGAGCGTCCCATCATGTTCTAATGTTATTCCCTCATCAAAAGCAAACCTGGAGAATTGCTTTGACTCTTTTACGCATGTTTGAGAATCCCTTAATCTCCATGGCAACAATATAGCTGTACAAAACGCCTGGGTGGACTAAGCTCCGCCTTCGAGGACAAAGCTCCTCCTTTGAGCTGCAGTTTTTAAGCTTCTGCCTCACAGAGCAGCCCTGCCCCACTCAGCTCCTTCAGACTAGCCAGCAGCAATTAGCAAACATTAGCCCCTGATGAGCTAGCATTATAGGAGCTGCTTCTCAGTGGAAATGTGAAAGGGTTACTAGCGGAGCCATGTTGTGATGACTTCTTGAAGGTGGAGTTTCAGAAAGAGCAGGAGTTTTTAAGGAGACCCAATTTCAAGGCGATAAATTAGAACGTCAAAGTTCTTTTTAAGTCGTGTTTGGTAACAGCTGAAGTTAACACTATGTGCCTGGAAAATACATAGTACTGCCCCTTTAAACGACAATGCATTTTCACACAGATCCAAAGAGCAGGAATTGGCATGAATGTGAACATTTCTATAACTCATATAATTCAGGTAGAGCAAATAAAGTTTCTACACTGAGTGACCTCTCTGTGGTAACGCAGAACGAGACTCTCTAAACCGCGTATATTTTATTATTATTTCAAAATATCCCCAGTACGTTTGGTTAGGTCAGCAGGTTCCGTCTGCTCCATGGTGGGTTCTGGGTTGGCCGTGTGGGCTCTGGCCGCCTCTGCAGTCGGATTCTCTAGGTAGTGGAACTGATGTTGAAGGTTGAAGTTGGCGTACTGAGCCTGGAGAGCTTGAAACTGCTGGGCGGACCGAACCCTGTAGTAGAACAATACCAATGAAACATTATATTATAAGATTGTAAGGATAAGGCCCCGGGGTGTTCTGTGGAATAAGAGA